AAAACACCACAAGGAAGAAAACACCATCAAGCCAAAAAAATGAAGGCATACAGACAGGAGAAAAAAGGGGGGCACCAGTCACACCACAACAGGGGGGGACTGGGGGGGGGGGGGGGTTAGGAAAAAAGAGCTGGATCTCAACGGTTAGAGGCAGGAAAAGCAAACAGAAAAAAGCCTATCTCACCACTGACTCTGATCAGGGTTTCTCCTCTGGATAGCTTATTGTCATAGTGATGAGAAATGGAATATTGTGTCTACTCTGTAAGTCGCTTTGGATAAAAGCGTCTGCCAAATGCATAAACATAAACACATAAACATAAACAAGTAGTTCCTCTCAAAGTTGAATAAATTAAGTATTTTTAAGTAGTTTTGCTCAATCAAAGTTGAATAAATTAAGTATTTTTAAGTAGTTTTGCTCAATCAAAGTTGAATAAATAAAGTATTTTTAAAAATACTATAGCTTATTGTCATAGTGATGAGAAATGGAATATTGGGTCTACTCTGTAAGTCGCTTTGGATGAAAGCGTCTTTTAAATGCATAAACATAAACATAAACAAGAAAGACTTATTGGCTGTATTTGGAAGCTACTTTCTCATCTTCAACCGGAACTGTACGATGTACTGAACATTTCAGGTGATTTAGAAAGAAGGCGGTAAAAAGGGCGCCTATTAAAAGCAGAATCTGCCTCTATAAATGTATTATAAATGTATAATATTGGGTCTACTCTGTAAGTCGCTTTGGACAAAAGCGTCTGCCAAATGCATAAACATAATCATAAACAAGTAGTTCCTCTCAAAGTTGAATAAATTAAGTATTTTTAAGCAGTTTTGCTCAATCAAAGTTAAATAAATAAAGTATTTTTAAAAATACTATAGCTTATTGTCATTGTGATGATAAATGGAATATTGGGTCTACTCTGTAAGTCGCTTTGGATAAAAGCGTCTTCTAAATGCATAAACATAAACATAAACAAGAAAGACTTATTGGCTGTATTTGGAAGCTACTTTCTCATCTTCTGTCACAAGGGGTGGATCTTAAGGTAGGAGAGATTCAGGAACAGGGGTTTATTGGAACAAAAACACACTCAAAAGGAGTGGATGGCAGACATGGTTAAAAAACAAGGCTGTGACAAAAACTATGATCAAAGTAGCAAAGCAAGATTAACATGGCTGTGGCAAATGTATCAAAACAAGACTATGGCAATAGTATCAAAATAAAGTAAACAAGACTATGGCAAAACAAGGTTAACAAGACTGTGGCAAAACAAGGCTATGACAAAAACATGGCTATGGTAAAAAGTATCAAAACAAGACTATGGCAAAAGTATCAAAATAAAGTAAACAAGACTGTGGCAAAACAAGGCTATGACAAAAACATGGCTATGGTAAAAAGTATCAAAACAAGACTATGGCAAAAGTATCAAAATAAAGTAAAC